GAATTTCTTGTGTCCTTGTGGTTTTAGAGGTATTGTGCACCAGATAATGTTTTTTAAATACTTGCTAACTTTCTTACTTTACTTTTGTTCAGGGTGCAGCCTTTGTAGAATTTGATGTACACCTTTCAAAGGACTTTGTGCCTGTGGTATATCATGATCTCACCTGTTGTTTGACTATGAAGAAGGTATGTTGAAATTCCTTCATTTTAAACCATTTTAAACTCTTACTGTTAGGTAAACGGTTTAAAAACTAGGAAGTTTGTTATATTTTAAATTATTTATTAAATAGAATTGTTCAGTTCATTTTCTTGGCAAATTACTGCCAATCCTTTTCTTGTTAAGCTCTTAAAACATTGAAGAGATGGGAATATTGATTTTCTAGAGTGGGGTCTCAGTGTTGCTGAATTTGCTTTTTTATGTTACTAACAATGGGACATTCCAGGTGATTTCTGTATCAGTCTGCTGCTGTCACTATATTGAGGCAGGAGAGGAGGGTAGCATAATGTTTGTTTTCTAGGCTTCTATTTCTTTCCTTTTTTCGGCAGCTGTCTGGTACAGGGATTGAACCCTAGACTTTGGTGTTACCAGCACCACACTCTAACCAATTAAGCTAACTGGCCAGCCCTCCATCTCTTTCTGCTTCAGCTGTTTTTCAAATTTATAGGTTAGTATTATTTGGCTAAAGCAGGAAGAGCCACAGGGAAAACTGGAAAAATGGTTTGGAGTCGGATAGTGGAGGGCCTCTGCAAAGGGGTTAAGACTTAAGAGAGAGGGAGATATGTAAGACATTAAGAGGGAGATATGTAAGCTAAGAAGGGAAAGGCTCAGAACTAAACTTAAAGACGAATGTGTTGTGTTTTTTGGTGGCTGGCCTGCACAGGGATCTGAACCCTTGACCTTGGTGTTACAACATCGTGCGCTAACCAACTGAGTAAGCGGCCAGCCCTAAGACTAATGTTTTGGTAGCTAATGTAATAGGAATTTCAGAAGACAGAGACTAGAGGCAAGGGGAGCAGTAATGTGGGCCAAGGTAAGGTAAGCTTGAGCTGGAGTAGGGGCAGGGAGAATGGAGACAAGGGCATAATGCAGGGAAAGTCCCAAATCAGATCTGAAAATGCATGCAATTTTTAAACAATTTTTAATAATTGTTCTACAAACGTGATTGAGATAATTATATAGTCCCTAAACTTCAGTATACAGATTAACCAAGTGATTTCTCAGGGACATAAACTAGGAGGGTTCTTTTGGCATTTTCTTTAAAACTGTATTAGGTATCATTTTCAACTGAGTTAATTTAAAGTTAAAGCCATGTTGCTAAAATGTAGAACACTGTACCAGAAACTTCCTGTTGTATAAAAGAGTACGACAGGGCACCTGGCTGTATCTGCAAGTGGGTTCTAATCAGAGTCCTATGGGATTGGATTACGATGATATATAGAAAAGGACCCTTCCATTTCTGTGAAATGGTATTAGCAGAAGGGAGGGAAGGAGATGCATCTATTCAAATGACAAAAGTAGAATAAACAGAAATGCAGTAGTTTGTTTTTGCTACTGGACAACATTAATGCAAAATGAGAAGGAATGGAGTGCTAAGGGATTTTATTAGCCAGGATTGAGATTAATGAATCTAGCTGTAATTTAAAAATCTGAGAATTAGTTGAAGAATATTACTCATCCCTGTTTTCACCAGACTGCCTTGCTCTGAAGTTGAACCTGAATGAGTTAATTGGGGAATGAAAATAATGAATTGTATATATTTTAGGTTTAGTTTTACTTTTTAAATTGGTTTTTTTCTTATTAAAACATTCATGTTTATTAGAAAAAAATGAAAATAATTCAGAAGGTTATGAAATGATAAACAAATTTTCTTTCCACTTTCGCCTTCATCTCACTCCCTTACTCTTAATAGTTTCTTGTGTGTATTCTTCTGAAAAGACTTTATGAACATACAGCTATTCATATTATTGTACAGGATTGAATATGTATGTAATGGATTTTAGTATATTTTGACGAATTAATGATTTTTTAGTGGTACCATAACTCATCTCCTTAAGATAGAGGTGCCTCCAGCAGTGCGACATTTGATCATTTGATATGGCATTAAAATCCAATAGAACGTATTTACTTATGGGGAAAACACGACAGATCAGAGTTCTTGTTAAGTATTATTGCTTATAGCTAATAAGACAAATTTTTCATAACGTTTTCTTTGTGTGGCTGCTATTTTTAACTAAACTTAAGTTTAAAAGGATTAGAAAAGTTTCAAAACTTACTGACAGAAATTAATTCTTTATAGCACTTGGATGTTGATTTCCTAGTTATGTAGCATGAATATGTGTCAAAATATATACAGCATGACAGGAAATAGGGGAAATGACTAACTTCTTGCTCTGTTCTAAGTGTCTTCAGTGCCACAACTTCTTGCCAACTGTTTTTTTTTTTTCTTCCCGGTACTCCCCAGCTACATTAAAAACAAAAGCCAGAATATAAGAGCTGGGAGGTGGGTGTTAAGAAAGAAGTGCTCACTCCGGCATGGGCTTACTGTGGCTGCCTAACAGTTATTCTCATTGCTCAAGAAATTGAGATATTGGGCCTTTCTTGTAAATATTCAGTAATAATTTGGGGTCCATTTTTCTCTTTATCTTTTTATTTTTACTTTTTAGAAATTTGATGCTGATCCAGTTGAATTATTTGAAATTCCAGTAAAGGAATTAACATTTGACCAACTCCAGTTGTTAAAGGTTGGAATAGTAGCATAAACTATAAATTATTCTTTAGCTTTAGGACTACTTGTACTTGCCTATGTAAGATTCTATTTGCACATGAGGATGACTATATATTCAATGTGTGTAGAGTGTATGCTTTGGTTTTCTGTTCTGTTTGGGGGAATAGGTTTGTGCTGATCCATCTGTCTTCTTTAACGGTTTCCCAGGATTCCGCTGGTTTTTGCATTCATGAAGGAGCTACGCCACAAGTCTTTTTAGACCATAGAGGCCAGCCCTTCTCATTCGTTATCTTACCTTTTTCTTTTTTCTTTTTTTTTTTTTTTTTTTTT